TGAGAATCAAGAGAGCCTGGGCACGAGTTATGGCCACGTTGAATCTCTGGGGGATAAGAGTAAGAATGTTACTCGATAAAAGTGCGTTAGATAATCTAAAGGGATGTGCGATACCGGAGTCTACCTGTATATCCATGTACTTCTTTTCCATCCATACCCGATCTCCTTTGGGCATGACATAAATGTTTTGCCCTCAGTTAGGGAAAATACCAAAATTATAAAACCTTGGGATTCATGGCTAAAGGAGAAGTATGATAAACGTAAATGTGATTAAACCGGCCATTTCTTACCCTTCAAAGGAGTTTTGAACCTTTTTAAACATTTAGCTAGTCATAATTTCTACCATTTTCAATTTACTAACTTTCCCCCAACCACAACTGAATCTTTATTCATTAATGTACCAATAATGTTAACAAAAATAATAATGGTCGGAATTGCAATAAAAAAAAAGCACCAACAAACCTGCCCCTGCATATGGCGGTTTAGTCAAACACAAAGATTAACTGGAGACCATACCTTGGGATTGTTGAGGAATCCGAGGCGGAAGTCCTTGTCCATCTCCAGATATTCTTTCTTGGTGCTCCTAACTGTTGACAAGATGATTACTCTTCTTTCTTGCCCCTGGAACTCTTCCACGCTGCCAACTTTGATTTCGCCACCAAAGCGTCTTTTTTCAATCATTTTCTGGATCTTTTGCACCTTGCCATGAAAAGAGAATTCCAATTAGCAATAACGACTGAAAGATAAACAGTTAATGATGAGATCTGCTGGGATGTTGGACGCCCAGGGTGGGGAACTGTCAATTTAAGAGATGAGCTCGGATCACTAAAATGTTGAGCGTGATGTGATGCATGCCAAGTTCTTTACCTTATAGTTGGAGGAATGAGCCCGGGCCACGAGGCCTGGTGACAACAACTGGATAATTGGTAACGCAAACGAGTAGACAATTCTTTTGGGGAAATAATGAATTGGAATGCCGTTTGAAAAGATTTTATCATGTAAAAAAAATATCACAGATTGTACGTATCGAATCGTCTAACGCCAGGAACAATGGAAGATAAGTTCCACACTTGTACTTACTTGTCTTTTGTAAGGAGATATCACCCCAATCATCTCAGGTTTTAAGTGCTTTAGTCCTCTGCTCCTCACATTATCGTCTAACAGTTTCCTCAGGTATCGCTCAATAGTTTCCACCTCAGCCACATTAAAGAAGGAAGGGCTGCTACCTTCTCTCTCGTCCTTACCAAACACCGGATGGAAAATGATCGGGAAGTTCTTATTCGGAAGCTCTTCCCAGCCTATCATCACATTTCTTGGACAAAACAGGTGAATATTAGCAGTGCAATGTTTTACATTCCGGTTCGGTTGACGTAGGAAAGTAG